GAAGATGATAATCAACTCTCTCGGAGCGAAGACGGCGCTTCCCAAGAGACATGGATAAGTCATCCATATTAAGAAAGAAGTTGCAACATATTGATATGCTTTGTATCTCTTAGAGCTCAAATCCTCTAGTTGGAGCATGTTGGGTAAACAAAAGTCGCGACTGCTGGGCATTCATTCATTGGCTCGGCTTTTGCCGAATAAGTCTTGGCATTATTTACGAATATTCGCGAATAATACGAATAAAACGTCTCGAAATTTAGTCGAATACGAATAATCGTTCCCAGGGAAAAGTCGAATACGAATAGCCAAAATCCTTATTCGTGTCCAGCCCTACCCAGCATATCCGGCGAAACAGATCCAATGCCTCAAAATTCCAGGTGCATTGCTCCGTAGCAATCACAACTTTCACGACCATTGTCGTCCTCAACGTCAAACAAATATGACCCGACATCTTTGCCACACCGGACACAGTATGCATCCTGACCAAGAAATCGCATTACAACGGATTCCTTCGGTGAAGGTGGAGGGCCCGCTTTCTCCCATCGTTCGCGGAATTTCACCAGCTTGCGAAGTCTTTTGTCGACTCCGATGAAGGAATCATCGACCCGATATTGGCACTGTCCGGGAAGAGAAACCTTTGCGGTATCTCCTCTTCCGCGTAACCCCTCCCCAGGAAAACCAACTTGGCTTCATTATCCTATTTAGAACGTCGAATTATATCGGACTCATCGAAAACCGCTAGTTTAAGGACGCCCCTCTTAGACTTATGACGGGGAGGACAGAAGCGGTGAGAGCAGAGCTCGCCTGGGCTACCCCAAAGCCAAGCTACCAACGCGCTCGAGGAATCCGGTTGTCGCGAGTGCAGGCAGATCTGAAGTGCCGTGAATGGGATCGATCCCGGTAGGAGGGCATGTTGTTTGTGCTTTCACTCCTGTGGGAGGAGGATTTATTGCACGAGCTTCACCTCTCGGTTCAGGAGCTTGTTCATCCTGTTTTTGCGGTTCTCGCCAGAAGTCGCCTCTTTTTGGTCACGTTTCCCAGTGGCCTGCTTCTCCCGTCTTCGCTGGCGTGCCCTTTGCCGTTGTTCCCTTCTCCTCAGTCGCCGATTCTCCTGTTTTGACAGCCCGACTTTCTGGTCGATCGGCTGTATTCTGTCCTGGCAGCGAAACCGATTTGTCGGCGAGCGTGGTCGGGATCGGTATACTGTAATCCTTCTTCATAGCTTCTGTTGAGTGGTTTCTAGGCATCATCAATGAATTCTAGGGTGGCCTATCGTGGGCCGACCGTACAGTATTTTGCAGTTTGCTCAACTCAGCAGTCAGAAGTCAGAACGCGTCGCGTTTGTCGCGCAGGAAGAGATAAGGGGGTTGTGGCTTCTGCTCAGGAACCCTGGCCATCATGATGTCACAGTCCATGATCCTCATATCAACGAATGTGGGTGGAGCGAGTTCCTCCAGCCACCAGTTCAGGTCACTGCACATCGGAATTCAGATGCAGTCTCTAGCAGTCTCGGCGACATCAAAGCAGACGAGGACATGACAGGACGGTTTCTAATTCACGTTGGCAGTTGTTGGAATCAGATTTCTTAGTTCACATGCGTCGATTGAAATGTGTAGTAGGATCCGCAAGATAAATGCTTCGACATGGGAATCCTCAGGAGTCAGGACAATACAGGTGCGTTCCCACCTCGAGCGGTTCGTATCGCCGCAGCACTAAAGTCCATGTCGTCTCGAAAATCCCGTCGTCAAGGCCGCAATGGCCCCTGCATGTGTCTCAATTGCAAAATGTCCTGCATCCAAGAGGTGGATCTCCGCATTTGGCAAATCTCTCTTGAACGCTTCAGCACCCGCTGGGACAAAAATGACATCGTTCTTCCCCCAAACCGCGAGAAGGGGAATCTGGGTAGTTCAGAAGTATTCATGGAAGTCGGGGTACATCGTAACATTGTTGCCATAATCTTTGAATAGGTCCAGTTGAATTTCCGCGTTTCCCGCTCGCGAAAGGAGGGCATAGTCCAAATGATACGCCTCGGGAGCTATCTTGTCGGGAGACGACTCCCCGGACTCGTACTGAAACTTGGTTGCGTCGAAGGTGAGGGCATATCCGCGCAGCGCGTCCCGATCAGCGCTGTCATCGCTCGTCCAACACTTTCGAATCGGGGCCCAGAAGTCCTTCCGAGCCCCTCGACGTATGCGTTGCCATTCTGGCTGATGATGGCTTGAATGGCCTCCGGTTGGCGGAGGGCCAGGCGTAGCGCCGTGTGAGCACCATAGTCGAAAATGTACACTGAGAACTTGGTAATCCGGAGCGCGTCAAGGAAATCTTCGACCGTGGCGGCAAGATTCTCAAAGGTGTACTGATACCCTTTAGGGACCTCGGTGAATTCGAACCCAGGCAAATCTGGAGCGATGACACGGTATTCCTCATCCGCTAAGAGGGGGGATGAGATGGCGGAATTGGTGCGAAGAGCTAGGAAACCCGTGCAAAAGGAGCACGACTGGACCATCTTTTAGACCGGCTTCTCGATAGTATAATTGAATGCTATTTGTACTAGATCTTGCAACCACACCAGATTTTACGACTGCACCAGATCGTGCAATCACACCAGATCTTACGACTGCACCAGATCTTGCGACTGCACCAGATCTTGCGACTGCACTAGATCTTGCGACTGCATCAAATCTTGCGACTGCACCAGATCTTACGACGATTGCAGATGCTTTAGATGCCTATGAAGGCATTAATTGAAATAGATGGCTTGATTTCATTCAATGTATCCACAGCATCCAGTTTTTGTATGGAGCATCCGCAGCATCCAAACAGGGACATAGACACAGGGCATCCTGGCATCCGCTGGCATCCACGACATCCAATTAGGCCTTGAAAATGAAAAATAGTTTGCTGATGTAGAGTACCGTAACTGAGCTTAAGCAGCAATCGTGCTTAATCATCATCCCCGCATAAATGCAACACCAGGGCGATTACAGGAAGATAATTGCAAGCCACTCTGTCGGAAGGAAAGCCGAGACTTTTACATTCTGTGATATTACGTCTAGGCATGTTCCACCTTTATTTCCAGTCCTTTCAACTGGAAGGAGTTGGCACCGCCCTCGCGCTTAGTCCATACGTTCTTATTATGCACATCCTTAACCCGGGCTCGCACCCACTCGGTTCCCGAGGGCACCGGTCCGTTGTATTGCTTGTCTTCCTCGGTGAGGAGACCAAGACGTTGCAGGAGAGGAGATGGCACTGTTCTCATTGCGATGTCATCGCCTGGTCGGCTGAAGTAGAGCAATCCAAGGCGAGCAATGTGTATCTGGTCCTTTGGGGGGGCCACAACGCGGTGTATTGTGGATTTGATCAACCCTGTTTGGAGAGTTTAGCGCGATGAATAGAAAATCGAAGGGAGTATCGCACCATTGGTGAGGAAAGTCAAAGTATCACCGGCATTGCACACAATGCCGCCTTCTACAGGCTTGACATACTTCCATTCGCCCTCGGGCGTCCGGATCTGCAGCCCAGCCACATTCTGCGAGAAGAGCAGGCTCACGCTACCAAAGTCGGTGTGGCCACTGTTAAAGTAGCCGAGGGCTTTATCCCATTCTTCCTGGGTCCTAACATTATAGAGCATGTATCGGAGCTGGTCATCGGATACCTTGTCGTAGGCATGAGCTTCAGTGAGATAGTTCTCCGGCAGTTCCAGAATGATTGCAATCAGAACAAAGAGCTTGCGCGTGATTTTCTCCCAGACATTGCGATGGAACTGGCTTATCTCCTCCCAATTCTCCTTGACTATTCGATGCTTAGGTAGATTTGACCACGCGGGGATTTCCTTATGAATGTTGAGCTGGAGATAATCAGTACCTATTCTCAAGGCCATAGACAGAAGATACCACAAACCGCCTCGATATTTTGTTTTACACCTGTATCACCAATCCAAGCAGCGTTCTCCCGGTACCCAAAATACTCGCCCTCCGCAAAGTTGCAAGGGAAAAACCGCTTCTCCTCTAATGGCTCTTTGAAGAAAGCATTGCCAATACTGAATTGTCGAAGGACATCCGCATCGTCAAGCCCAGTATTAACAACAACCCAGAATCCGATTTTCGTAACTGCGTCATAGAGCTGCTGAGCTAGTTGCTGTTTACCTCCGGGTTCGTCAAAGCGTGACAGATCAATTGTCGCCAATGGCGCCCATTTCAGGTCCTCTCTCGTTGGCTCTGGCCGGCTCCATGGCTTCACCGGGATTTTAATAGCTGTTCCGGGCAGGTTGTCAATTATAATGGGAGCCATGATGCGCTCCTACTGCCACAAAGACTCGCGGATAGATAATGTAGAGAAAGAAGGGATTGAGGACTTCGAATACAGCTTTGTTGAAGACCTAATACCGTCCTGTGTCGGCTGTAAAGCTAGTTTATCAGAAATTATATTCTAGCACAAGCGACCCGCAAATTAAGGGAATCTGTTACAAAGCACGCAGGAAACGGTTCCGATTTTCTGTCAGACATTTCAGTCTCTATACCTTTGAAGCGTCCGGAATCGGTACAGACAATGGATCACGCTAGGTGATGAGGTGATAAACCCCTGCGGTGGCGTCGTATTAACTTAATATGCCTGATACCGTAATGCTATCTAGATTGGCTGCGGGAATGACGTTTTCCACTATTGTCCAGAGTAATAAGGTCACGAAATGAGTTTCACGAAGCCACACGCGGAAATATCCGTCCACGAGCCCATTTGACCCCGTAATAAGGATTCCAGCTCGTATGCCTTATAAAGTAGCACTGAAAATTGTTGAATTTATGGGGTGCAGCTAAACAAACGCCTTTTGGTGCCAGTTTCTATATCGCCTGGACAGCTGTACAGTTTCTATGCCTTAGGCCAAGCAATTGCTTGACTGATAATCACTGATCCCTTAAGATCTAGTTTGGGCTGTCAATACTTGGTATCTATGTACATGAGATATGCTATGAGTTTCACTGCGCAAATTTCTCGATCAATCCGTTGGAAGAGTTAACTCGTTGTGCCCATTCACTATTGTTCGTTCGGTGATTAGCGAATGAACTGATTAGAATTCTCGATCATAACTTACGACCAGCTCCCGTCATATAGCCTTCGGTTCTCTTCATTGCCATATTTAGCGGCAGCGAGGGCAGCATCAATTACCGCAGCTGTCACTCCGCTGCCGCAGCTAGTTATGATCGGCCTTGCTGGGTCAACCCCCTTGCCTTTAAACACTCTTATCAACTGCTCAGCAGGGAGAAAGGTCTTAGTTTGGGGATCGAGTAAGTCAGATACTGGGACACTAATAGATCCAGGTATATGACCTGAAGAAAGTCCATGTCGTGGCTCAGGCGTTGTCCCTACCCATCGCCCATATGGTCTAGCATCCAGTATCTGCGCGCCTTCTGGCCCCCCCTGATTGTAATTGAGTGCAACCTCCTTAACCTGGTCGAAATTAACGACTTTGCTCGCATCGAGATCTGGAGTCGGATAATGGCTAGCATCAATGCTCGGAGGCTCCCCAAACTCAGTTGGATAGTCATTCTCGACCCAGAGTTTGAAATTATTGAGCACGTGAACCGTAGCATGGCCAAACACCTTCAGCATCCAAGCTGCTCTTGGCGCGCTAGTGATTCCAAGTTCGAATGTATCATATACAACGACGGTATCATCTCTGCTAATTCCGAGGGCACTCATGGCGGATGCAAAATCCCTTGCGCTAGGTAGCATGTTAGGCAAGTTACTATGCTTATCTACGACCTTGCCGAGATCAAGGAAGCGGGCGTTCGGAATCCGGCGCTCACGAAACGCATCTAGGCCTGTCCGGCCATCACCCGGAGGAAAGCTTTATTAATTCTTAGCAGCAATATCATGTATTACAGAGAATTGACTTGCCTGGCGGCTGAGAGCGGTATCGTTCGGGGTAATGTGGTCGTCTCAGAGGGCGGGCTTTTTTGCAAGGCTTCGTGCAGCTCCTTGGGGGTTATAAGATAGGAAGAGAAAGGCATTTCGGTAGCCATTTTGGATGTGAAAGTTGAGAGTATGTAACATTTGTATGCACCGTTGCCTCGTTCGAATGTATAGAAACTGGGAAAATGTAATTCTACAGCGAAAAGGGGTGTACATTGACACTGAATGTTCGGTGTGTCCCAGGATTGAAAGAAGACCTCTAGTTTCAAGTGTCTCGTACATGAATGTACTTACTATGTAAACTAAAAGGTACTACCACCGCCGGTAGAATAATATGACACAAATGTACCTTACAATGGCATCATTTATAGTGGAGTCTGACAAGGGTCTTATAATGGTATCATTTGAAATGGAGTCCGACAAGTTCCTAAGTGGAATATAGAACTTATGGTTTTCGGTTCGGAAAAACCCCACAGTGGGGTCTACTACGTAGTAAGAAGCATGGGAACATCCCAAATCTATATTGTCGAGATCCTGGGGCCTGACGGGGAGTTGGGGAGGGGTGTCCAGGAAACCAGGAACGGAACCTGGGTCGTCACTTTTAGGATATTATACATATTCCAAGGCTATGCGCTTGGTTTTTCCAGGCTAGATAGGAGATAAACGTGATTCCTACAGGTCCCTAGACACACGGCGATTGAGATGGATGCTACTATGTAGGTTGAAGTATCTCAAAAGTTCTATAAAAATGGTATCAAGCTCGTTGTGAATGAGTTAAGTACGCATCCTTACGGGCCCACTAGACTATGCGGTACGTAGGAGGAGGTGCCGCACAGAGCATAGCCGATGCCGCGGATCCGGGACATATGTACATATGTGCTCCTGCAGGGTCTACACCTCTCCCAACTATGTGGTTCTGACTAGGGTAAATAACGAGATATTTTGAGATATTTTGAGGTATTTCGGTGCTTGCTCAACTCTCTCTATGCCAAAAAGCGGTATTTTTGTGAAACAATTTTAACGACTCTACCCGGCAATGAGGCCGCTTCAGTGGTAGAGATGTTCTTAGAATAAGACGAGATATAATATTTTATTAGGAGAATTTCGAACAAGGTTCTGACGGACAATTGTTTGCGACCCCTATACAATTTTCAACCACTTTTCAACCAAATAACTACAATTATCACCTGTCGAAAGACGGAGACACTACACTATCTCCAGCCTCTCCTTTCAAATATTTCTTCCAGACATTTCCAATGTCGTTGAGGTAAATCCATGGCAGTCCGTCGCCAATCATTCCGTTTACCGTGACTCTTAATTGTGCTTCCCATTCGCTAATACCGGCAGCACTGGCATTCCGTTTCGCTCCGTCTACTTTACGTTCCTGCAAGTCGATATAGTCGTACCTGTAATCGATATTGTTTATCAGCCAAGGAAATAGATGAGAGTTACGTGAGGAGGATTCGGGGTGACTTGGACTGAAGTATACACACATTCTGAGATAGTAAGAAGACCGAATGGAGTCAAAGATCTCAAGAGCTTTTGCTATTGAATCGGCGGTTGGGTTGCCATTCAGGTGAGTGTGCTCGATCGCACGGGCAAGGATCCAGCCATCTTCCATCGCAAAGGCAGCACCTGAGCCAAATGCCCCTGAGAGAGGATGGCTGGCATCGCCCAGTAAAACAACCTTATTCCACCCGGTGAGTTTCTCCAATCGTGGACCTGCGAAGGTCGAGTATTCCTTCCACACACCCTCAGGCACGTGCGATAATACTTCCTGGACAAGAGGTCCGTACTCCTATATATGCCGGTCAGTAATTTAGTTCTATACCCCTTTATCACTGGATTTCGACGCGAAAGGCAAACCTGACCTTGAAATTTGATAGCACTTTTTCATTTACAGCGTCAACCCCCCACCTGAATTTCTCTACCTCCAATCTCTTAGGGTCGACCCATTTCCTAATAGAGACCTCAAATAACCCGTCGGTATCCTTATCCACTTCTTTCGGGTCATCGACTGGTGTGGTCATAACGAATCCTACAGGACTGTGGAACCATGTCGTCTTGTGATTTAGTTCCGGAAAACGATCCATCGACTTCCACGGGATAAGAGTGCGCCAGACTGTCGTGCCTAGGTATTGCCTTAAGGGTTAGCTTATGTGAGTGGCGCATAGAGATAATCGCAATGACACTGACCCGTGAAAGTAGTTTTGTGGTCGGGAAAGATATTTTCCCGGACAACCTAGAGAAAGCCAATCAGACGAGGTTTCGCTAATTCGATAACAAGGAATAGGCCAAAAGGCTTAAATACTTACCGATCGAATCCCATCCGCTCCAACAACCAAATCTGCTGTCGCTGTGGCCCCATCCTCGAAAATCAGTCGAACTCTCCCTGACTCACGATTTTCTAAAGCAGTGAGACGTTTGCTTAGTTGAATTACGCCAGGGGGAATTCTGTCGAGGAGCGCCGATTGCAGCTGCATCCTTCTTACCCGCCTAGGGTGATACCAAGGAGGGAATGACGACGCAGTAGCTCCAACCAATGTTCCAGTAAGTCCATCTCTGCGGTATTATGTTAGCTCTCGTGATACATGTGGTAATAAATGCAACAACCGCTCTTATACCGATGATCGACGATGATCCTCCGATGTCCTTTGATCCCGTCCGCGGCACCCAGTAGACCTAGCACTCTCCAGCCATTAAGTCCAATGGTAACCCCTGCTCCGATTTCTCGAAGCTGTGTTGCTTGCTCGAAGATGGTCACCTCGACATTCGGCAGAGCTGACAATGCAATTCCTGTCGCGAGTCCGCCGGGCCCTCCCCCAACAACAGCAACCCGTAATGGCCGCGTGGGCTCTTGTGCAGTCATGATCTTGCTCTTTGTCACGCAACGGAAACATTGGACACTGATTCACATACTATAACTAGGAATCCGAGCGTTTAAGATCACGACTCGCCAACAATGAGGGTTGAAAAGCGTAATCCGGGTGCCATATCACGTATACAGATGTTTGAATTGTAATTGGCGAGAACCCGCCATAGCGCGCGTAATCTAGGGCCGGAAATTAACTTGATTATCAAGATATCTCCACTGTAGGTAATAGTCTCAAAGATGTGACCTAGTTCTCACATCACGTGCTTGAAAATATCCACAATCATACCATAGTAGTCTATAACGGTGAAACTTAGTTGAATACCGGGCTCTAGTCTAAGACGTGTATTTACTTTTTATACAATATCTACGGTATTTAGACAACGCAGTATGATAAGAGAAGAATAACTTGTAATGGCCAGGGTTGTGCTAACAAAAATCCCTATAGTGGGACCAGTCACGGATGTGAGGACCAAAGGGTCCTACTATGGTTACTCTCCGCTCTGGTGAGAGCCGAAGGATTGGCAATGAGTGGGGTTATGCTAAGTCCTTATAGTTGTTATGGGTTGAAGCCCTTGGTTGGCTAAGGCTAAGAGCCTAAGCCTGAATAGGTTAAAGGTTGATTCAGAATCTAACCTTTTTCGATGTAAACAAGAAAGGCTTCCCCTTCTTGTTCTCTTCTTTAGCTTGATCTAGAATATCTTTGGCTACGTGTATGTTGTGTACATCCAGCTACCGTGCCGCAATAATAGTGGGGCTAGGGGCTAGTCATGATGGGCCAACCCTTGAAAAAATGTACTGAATTCACTGATTCCTTCTCTGAGTACGGGTTGCCCCGGCGGTGTACAGGGTACTACCTTGTGGATGATTCTCAAAATGAAATCACGGTCGGCGTCTGAGGCTATTTGCATCCATGTGGTGAAGATATTATAATAAAGAAAATTTGACGTAATTTCGCAGTCCAGAAGCTGTTCAGTGAGGCGTCAAACATGATGTGGGTGTGCCCGATGCCTGCCTTTCTCTACCACCTCCTGCACCACTTCCGCCTTGCTTGGAGATCATGAAGCCGGAGACTTTGATAGAGGAAAGCCTATATACAAGTTCCTAGACGGTTTGGCGGATTTTTGGCTGCTGCTGAGTTCCGTAATGATTGATCCGCTAATCGTGCCTAACATGATACTACTAAGGCTTGCAGAATATACCCCATAGCACGACATCGACAACAGTGGTAGAGCACGTGTAGATAGGGATAATGAGGTGCTTGAGGAACTTCCCGTGTCTCAAAGTGCTGACCATGCCTGGCGTGGTGTGATTAAGACGCACAGCATGTACCCCACAGGACTTTCGACATCGGCGACTATGGTAGAGCACGTATGTATAGGGACGATGAGGTGCTTAACGAACCTGCTGTTATCTCAACGTGCTAATCTGATTATTTTGCGTAGAGCTTTGCTTCTCACCCATAGACGTAGATCTGCTTAGACTTCGAAGTTTTAAGCTCTTGTTTCTTAATTTGGCTTCTTAGAACTTTTTGAAGCAATTTCTATTCAAGCCAGGCTCTCGTTATGGGCGCAACTCAACCCCAAAAAGTCATTGCTGTCGCAGTGGACGACGTCGGTCTGTCAGATAAGATTGAAAGACCCCAACATGACAAGTTTGGCGCAACAGCCAAAAACGATCCGCAAGAAATTGCGCTGGTCCGTAAGGTCGACTGGCATATGATGGTGCGCTTATATTTTGTCCGATACAAATCAAGACTCCTAACAACGACTTCAGCCAATCCTCGCCTTGATGTACTTTATGAGCAGTCTTGATCGCAACGCCCTTGTCAACGGCAAAATCAATACTCTTACTAAGGACCTTCATCTTCAGGGCTACCAGTATAACACCTGCATTGCAATTACGTTCGTCGGCTTGATTGTCGGTGTAGTGCCCTCTAATATGATTTTGAGTCGCGTGAGGCCTTCCTGGTGGATGTCCGGGTGGATGATGGCATGGGCATTGATCACCACTCTTAATTGCATAGTTAAGGATTATCAAGGATTAATTGTGTGCCGGTTCCTGCTCGGTATTGCGGAGGCACCGTTTTATCCTGGGGCACAATATCTGATCAGCATGTTTTATACCAGGAAGGAGATCGCTACGAGAATGGTTTGTTGACTGATTTGGAGATTACACTCGGTTTGATAGCTGATCATATTTCAGGCACTGCTCTGGACTGGCAACACAGCTGCTGCTGCTTTCGGCGGCTTGATCGCAGCAGGCGTTTTCGCCAATCTCTCCGGGGCACATGGAATGGGAGGTTGGAGATGGTCAGCCACTTCTAATCTTCCTTTATATTTATACCTTACTCACATCTTCTAGGCTTTTCCTTATTCAAGGCATCCTCACGGTTGTTATCGCCATCGCCGCATTTTTCCTTCTACCAAACTCTCCACTCGATACTCCCTGGCTCACACCCGAAGAGCGCCGGCTAGCATATGACCGCATTGCACGAGACACGACGGAGAAGCGTATTAGCACCACGATCTGGACCGGTCTCCGTGAAGCAGTCACGGACCGCCGGGTCTGGATCTTTGCCTTCCTACAACAATTCCACGCCGGCGCTGCGAATTTCAAAAATTTCTTACCCACTGCTATCAAAGGGCTCGGCTTTAGCTCGACCGTAACATTGGTTCTCGTCTGCCCGCCGTACCTTCTGGCTGTTTTCACCAACCTCACGGCTTCCTGGTCGTCCGGCCGCTTCAACGAACGGACCTGGCACATCACGATCCAGAAATTCATCTCGATCATTGGATTTGCCATCGGTGCGGCGACAACCAATGTCGGTGCACGCTATTTCGCTTTTATCTTATTTGTCGGGTCTACCTATGGTGTGAACAATATCAGCCTTGGGTGGACAGCCGCAGTAATTGGACAGACGGATGAGAAGAAAGCCATTGGACTGGCTCTCGTCAACAGTATCGGAAATATTGCTTTTGTTTATACACCATACTTGTGGCCAGATTCCGACACCCCGCAGTTCGTGGTTGCTATGTCATCTAGCTGTGCGTTTTCGGCTGCCGTGATCGTTTGTGTCTGGATCATGAGGTGGGATCTACAGCGGGAGAATAGAAGGATTAAGGCATCGGAAATTGAGGCAGTGAACCTCTACGTCTATTAGTAACGCGATATATATAACGTATTCCACAAGCGAGCGGCCCACCTCAACTAGGAAACGCGACGCGTTTGTTTCAATCAACTATGTCTCAATAAACAAACATTCAATCGTTAAATTCTGAAGGGAAAATATCTTTAGCTATATCAGCTATCAATCAGAAGCAATTTCAAAGTGTTAGAGCTGCAACAAAGACCTATGATGCGGTTCGAACTACCCTAAGGCGACGACGCGCCGGAATCCCTTCACGACGCGACAGTACGCCCAATTCAAGAAAGCTTACGGATCTAGAGGAGAATGTTATTACTCGACATATCTTAGACCTAGATTCGCGAGGATTTGGGCCCCGGTTAGGTAGTGTTGAAGATATGGCTAATAAGCTACTTGCTGCTCGGGATAGCGGACGCGTCGGCGTTAACTGGGCCTCAAACTTTGTTAAGAGGACCCCTGAGCTCAAGATGGGTGTAAGGGTCTCACTGTAGGGAATCTCCAATCGTGAGGCAAACATTGAATTGTTGCTATGAAGGAGGAATCTATCTAAGGTGTGCGAGGCGTTTATCTGTTCTGGTGTTTACAGAGCAGACCAGAACGGGCCACAAGGCCACAAGGCATCCATGTCGATAGACCTCTGATCCATCATTATCTCAGCAAGCTCAGACGGTATCTTCAGATGCTGCACGTGACTACGGTGTGGCGGTGCAGCCAAGGTATCTTCAGATACCGTCTGAGGTCCTTTTGTAAGGTTTGTGTGGTGGTGTAGTTGAAGTTTTCAGAGTTCCCAGTCGTTTCAGTCAACCATTTAACTTTCAGTACTCGAAATTAGCTTAAAGTTTATGTAAGGACATAAGCCTCCTGTAGTCATGTGACGGGGTCATATGACTAGAACATAGAGAATTAGTATATATGGTTTCCAACCCCAATGACCCCTGTTTGGGATCATTGTGATCTTTTATGGTCCAATGGTATTAGCGCGGAGGGTTGGTCACGTGTCATTACAGTTTACGCGGGGCTAGGTAAAGGGCAAAAGAACCCGCTCTTATATAGTATATTAAAAAATATATCAAAATAATTCTATAATAAAGGATTAGCATCAGCGGTTTCGAAGGGCTGGTGTAGTTGGACTTTTGGGGCGACCCCGGTCGCTAATTTTGGTGGAGTTTAGTACGCCGTAGGGGCCAAATCCGCTCTTTTTACCTACGCGCCCACCAAAATGCTGCAGATGGTCCTCAGACGGCATCTGAAGATGCCTGCACCGCCACAACCATCTTCCAGATCCCGTCTGAGTCCCAACTGAGATAAGTTGAGGTAAGACCTTCGTGTCATGATCACGTGCGATGACTTGTGATGGCCTAGACTACCTTCGTACTCCTCTTTCAGTCTGTCTGATCTGTAGTTCTTCCTTTCCACCCATCAAAACCCCTTTTTGAGTCACCTCCAAATTTCGATCATTTACCTACTGTCCCAACTTCAACATGGCTCTATGCAAAAAATGCCGCTCAATCAAGTTCACGCCCGTTGACGACTTAGCTGATAAGAGGCTGGTCGATGCTTTAGACTCATCAGCTATAGGCCGGTTTCCTTCCGGGATCCAAACCGTCTACATTCACTCAGTGTCGTGGAATGACTTAGAACAATCAGTATCTCCGACCGGCTGTTATGCTTGTCATGCATTATTATTTTATATTAAGTTCTCCGCCATACCGCTCGGTGAAGCCTATCGTTGGGGCAAAATGCACCCAATACTCCCCGACGATACAGTATCCTCGCCAGTTATCCTCAGCATGTCTAGTGAAGAGCCCGAAACCTTATTTCTTGGTTGCGATACACGGAAGGCGATTCTATTACGCGAAGAAGTACCTAGTAAGTTTGTTTCTTATGGTTACAAGGTGAGGTCATATTCTCATTCTCGGAATAGGTTCACTGGTCAGGTATACCAGCGCACAGCTTGAAAAAGACGACACAACCACAGGCTCCCAAAAGACTATGGATCTGCTACGCACATGGCTCGAAATGTGCATCGCAAACCACCCGGATTGTACCAAGTATTGCAGTCAGAAAAGCTCGACGCCCCCAACTAGAGTCTTGGACGTAGGGTCCAAGGGGACGGCTGACGATCCGAAGTTGTTCGTGTCAAATGGCATCAACGCTCCGTATCTTGCTTTGAGTCACTGTTGGGGAAAGTCCCCTATTCCAACTACCACGACAGCTAACATAGCCGAAAGACAGACGGGGATACCTTTCGGCATTCTGCCAAAGAATTTCCAAGATGCAATCGTAGTGGCTCGTTTGTTGTCTATTCGATATCTCTGGATCGATTCCCTGTGCATCGTCCAAGACAGTAAACAGGACTGGGACATCGAGTCCGCTCGAATGGCGGCCGTCTACAAAAACGCGGTATGCACGCTCGCTGCTGCAGGCTCAGCTGATCCCAGTGGAGGACTCTTTGGCATTCGTGATCCTAGGGTCAACCGACCGTGTTGGCTGCCCATTCCTACTGAAAACGGAAGTGAAGGAGTCGAAACGAACACGCAAGGCTCGTTCTGGTGCCAGCCTGGGTTGAGGCCGAACGGGCCCCTTTACACTCGAGCTTGGGTTCTCCAGGAACAAGCCCTTTCCGGAAGAATGGTCTCTTTTTCTGCGAATAGGATTTTCTGGGATTGCCTTGAGGCGTCTAGGTCTGAATTAAAGCTTTCCTCAAGTGCCGTTGAAGGGCCGACGGGCGAAGCGTTGATCAAGTTCAAGAGATTAACGGCGCAAATCGACTCTCCATCATCTCCGGAGGATGCCACTTCATCATCTCCGGAGGATGCCACTTCATCATCTCCGGAGGATGCCACTTCATCATCTCCGGAGGATGCCATTTCATCATCTCCGGAAGATGCCACTGTATTACCGGGCTTCAAGGATGCGGGGTATACAACATGGTACGACATATTGCACTCATACATGGATCGAAAGGTTACATATAATACCGACAGACTGCCGGCAATATCAGCTGTGGCACAGGAAATGAGCCAGATCTTGGACGACCAATATTATGCGGGCATCTGGCGCGGCGATTTGATTGTAGGCCTGCTCTGGTGCTGCTACTCCAAGGACTGGAGCAGAATTAAGCCGCCACTCAAGTATGTCGCACCGTCCTGGTCATGGGCCTCGATACAGAGTGGACTCTCCTGTTCCCGTGATTTTCGAGCAATACCCGAGGAGGGAGACCCACGCAGTTTTAAAGGCGGATCGAGCGGGGATTCCGAGAGAGATTACGCTGAGTTGGAGATTTTAGAGATCAATACTTCGCCTTCTGGACCAAGCACCTTTGGCAGTCTCGCCTCCGGGAGCGTCAGTTTAAAGTGTTGGATTAAATTTGCAGTCCTGAGCATAACCTCCGGGGCCAACAACCTCCTTGAGACCGACTCAGGCCTTCAAATTGGAGGGTTCATCGCCGATGAGCCCCTTAGAGATGATATGCAAGGCAGGGAATTGTGGTGCCTGCTGGCTGGTTGGCATGAGGACTTTCCGGATATGTCAACCTGCCTGATTTTATTGCCTACAGGATTTGCCGTTGACGAATGTCGGCGAATTGGAGTTGGGGGCGTCGCAGAGCAGTCTTGGGATACCGTTACAGAGATGAGGCGCGTCGTTATTGTTTAAACCTTGTTAGGTAAACCTGTGAGCTTGCCTGCTGCCAACATGAAGTTGGACGGTGAAGTCTGTCGTTGAACTAAGAAGTTGTGTGACAGTCTTGGGCTTCGCCCAGTCTGTTTGTTGTGGCCTTGCGGCCTAAGGCAGAAGGGATGGGTAGACCGTTTGCCCAGAGATGTAAATAGCAGATCGCAGTGAGAGAGATCTTCTCCTTCTCTCTTTAGCAATTCAACAGCGATACCAGCTTACCAAATCCTTCGTGGTTTGGGCCCTTGACACTGAATTTGCATTTGTATGTGTTTTGCAGCGTATCTCAAGATACGGTGTATGGCTATCAGATTTGGTAATTTTCGGGGGTGTGCCCAGACACATGTCTACTTAGTGTAGCTTCCCTTCTGTCCTTCTCCTCACTAGCTTTCTAATAAATGAAAGTGGTATTCGCAGCCTTCGCGATCAAACCGTCTCACCACTCGCCGACGGATTGCATTGTCAACAGCGCGCGGGGATGAATCCCTTGCAGACGACCGGGTTATGTAGCGCGGTGGTGTACGTAGTCGAGCATCCTTGTTGATGCGAGCTACTGAGCCTCAGCCGCTCGCTACTTGATTTGTTTT